AACGTAGTTTATTGGATTTGAGGTTCCCACAGCGGTGGTTAGAAGAGTTCTGACTTCCGGACTATAGCTGTATAATCAACAGACTTTTCAGAGGAACATCATGAAGCAGGTAGTAAGTACTATGCAGGTCTCTTGCATGGCTTATTCTTCGACCCTGAAGACGGAAGCGAGTAGGTAACAAGAAACCTGCTTCATGATGTTCCTCGCTTGGCTACTTCTTCGGCCCTGAAATTATAAGTGTTTTATTTATGTTGTTTATTAACCCTGTTATCGTTATGCGAAAACCTGGCGCTACAGGCTGGGGGAATTTCGAATTCGGGAGAGAAGAATTTGGGCAAGAGTCCCGAAGGACTTTGACCTGAGAACGACTGCGATAGAGAAGACCAACAGCAATAGTAAACTACAGACCCACCTCTCGTCAGAGAGGATGTTACATAAGGACTAAGAAAACAAGAATTTAAAAAAAATTCTGGTCGTGATTCGCAAGGGGCTTGTCGCCAAGACGAACAGACTGACGGTAAACCGCCAGTCGTAAAGTGACTCTGACTCTCTGAGTATGAACAAGGCTCGCTGCTCTAATCAGTTAGAGCGCCTACACTGAAAGGCCGATCCCTCCTCTCGTCGAAGAGGAGACTCTGTTTCCTAGCAGCGAGAGAGTGAGGCATAAGACAGGAATGAGATCACATAAGCCTACTTCAGGAGACAAGACTACAAAAAGAACGTAGAGGTGAGATGATAGCTCTAAAATTATGCAATTTTGGTTTACCACAAGAAAGAATTTTCTAGCGTTGACACGTTGCGTGGATGCAAGTTATATAGTAATTCACGAACGAATCCCGGGTCTGGTCAAGTGGGATTTGTGGTGGACAAAGTGGAGCTGGGGCAGGTTTTCGCCGAGTACTTCGGTTTCCCCTGCCAACCTTCATTCCACCAATTGCTCCACAATCACCCTCACCTATCATCTGGGGCTGGTACAATAGGCCAGAAGTGGCCGCAGTACAAGAGACTTAGTCCCACCCCACTAGCAATAAAAAAAGTCATGAACGAGCGACCAGTATTTTGTTTCTTGGTATCGTGCATATTCTGCGAGTACCGATAAAGCTTTTATGTGCATGTATAAGTGTACAATAATGTATAAGGGAGAACGATTACGAATGACTACTTTTAAGTGTTGTTCGTGGGGAATAATAATAAATGTCGGTCTGGAAGTACAATTTTATAACATGTAAGCGTAGAAGGGAAATGGGATAGAGCGGGAGGATGCTTACGTAACAATGACACTTCGCTTGGATTCTGAAGGATGTTACAAAATATAGTATGATTGAAAATAAAACGACATGAGTAAAGTAAAGAAAAAGTAAAGGTATCCCTGTAACAGGCCTTGGAGGCCTATAGGGTTGTGAGATGTTGAGACTCCCACATTTTCTAGACAATCGGCTCACAGATGGCGGTAAAGTTGTCAGGTATTCCACATCGGCCGCCCTTTACCCCCTCAGGAACATTACTGGTACTCATTTCTGTTAGAGGCTGTGACGACCACAGGGCCATAGTGCGGCCGGAAGGATTAGGTCAATTGAAAAAAAATCCAATGACCTCATCGGGAATCGAACTCGCGACCTTCCGGCTTGTAGCATAGTGCCTCAACCAACTATGCTACAGCGTGCCCCAAACGACATGAGTTCAAACTTGAATAATATGTACAGTATTCCACAGAAGCTTCATAATCGTCAATAAAAGAAGGACAAAGAAGAAACACAAATTCCATTTTTCCTCTTGGACAGAGGCCGAATATGTCTACTGCTCTCGCGTCACAGACACAAAGTGAAGACAAAATGAAAAGGCCTCGACACGGATACTCCATCACAGTCCGACCTTTCGCGGATTATAATGTTAGCACTTCCCTGTTACAACTCCTACCTGTCATTTATGGAAAAGAATTGATATTCTTTGAACGGATTAGAGGGTCAGTAGAATGGCTGATTGGTTAGTCATCAACAGGTGGTGGTGTGCATTAACTATGGAATGGAACTGGAAATGTTAGGAAATGTAACGGGCTCATACGGTTAAGCCAATAATCCGAAAATTCTTGTGCAGGCCCTGAAGTTGATATAAAAATATAATTTGGATAGTTGTCACTTATATTTCTTTCCTTGGCACTACAGCCCCAGTGGGCCTAGGCCTACCTCCATGAACTTCTCCGTTCACTTCGGTTTTTCTAGATCTTACACATTCGGTAGGACTCCTTGGGCGGGTGATCAGCTCGTCGCAAGGCCTCTACATGTACAAAAACACAGAAAGACGCACAAACACAAACTAAACATCCATGCCCTGAGTGGGATTCGAACCCACGATCCCAGTTTCCAAGCGAGCGAAGATAGTACATGCCTGTCACTTATATCCAAACCAAGAAATTATCAGTCCAAATCAGGACTCCTGTTATTGAACTACATTTATTGTGTAGGTTAAGATAATATTTCAGCTGTGTAAGCTTTGAGGCTTTCACGGCGGTGACTATGAAGAAAGCAGTCTTCTGGGATTTGGCACCGTGTATATGTGGTGTTAACCGACGTTTCGGAGGAACGTATCGCCTCCATCTTCAGGGTAGAAGAAAAAATATGAGAAATCTGCAAGCGAAGAGACCGTGAGAAACGGTAAAAGCAGTCTGGTTTTCTCACTGTCTCTTCGCTTGCAGATTTCTTATATTTTTTCTTCTACCCTGAAGATGGAGGCGATACGTTCTTCCGAAACGTCGGTTAACACCACATATACACGATGCCAAATCCCAGAAGACTGTTTTCTTCAATATTTCAGCTGTTTGTGCTACGGTGTAGTACCTGTTTTAATTTTCGGTAATATGTTACTTTTCCGACAGGTTGCATTTAGGAATTTAGTTTGACTCTCGAAACAAGTCCTTATTTGCTGCACGGTCCACCTACGCAACAGATGACATTTCTTTTTATTAGTTGCCTTTTCCTCCACTTCTTCATTGTCAGCTGTCGTTAATAATGCTCTACAATTCCATCCATGACCATCTAAGCTCTGCTACTTTTGTACTATCTCCTGATTTACTTACATTTTTCTTAATCAATTTAATACTAACTAATCTTTCTATGGGAGCCGGTGTAGCCTAGTCGATATAGCAATCGGCTACTGGATGGACGACCGAGGTGTCGGAGTTCGAGTCCCAGTAGGGTCAAGAATTTTCTCTTCTGCACATCGTCCAGACCGGGTCTGCGGTCCGCCCAACCTCCTATCCAATGGGCACAGCGAGCTGTTTCCCCCGCGTAAAGAGGCCGGGGCGTGAAGCTGACCACTAATCTCCATCTAGTGCCGAGGTCAAGAAAATATGCATCTGTACATCCATTCCCCCATACGCCTTCGTTGTATAGTGTTTAATTAGTTAAGCACAGGGACACCTTTACCTTTACCTAATCTTTCTATTGCCGATCACAGTGAACATGTGGTCTGAGGCATAAAATATATTCGCTCATTCCAAAACTGGAATCGTGGGTTCGAATCCTACTCAAGGCATGGATGTTTGCCTGCTTTTATTCTGTATATTTGTATTATCCTGTGTAGTTAGCGACCTTGCGACGGGCTAATCCCCCATCCAATGGGTCCTACCTATTGTTTAAGTTTAAGAGCGAGGGCAAAACAAGGAAACTGGCAACCGCCAATTTTACTGTCTCAGATTCGAGACTCCCCCAACCTGGAGGGTCAGACCCCCATATTTATGTCCCCAAGGAACACGATGGCCCAGTTATACCCCCAGATACTTGGTTCCATTTTTGTCGCCTCCTGTGACTCTCAGGGCTACGGTGGATGTATTCGAATTCTCTTCTACGAGGATAAAACTTCTCTTCCATTATTGCTGTAATCTCTTGTTGCCGTAAAAATATGATTATTTTCTGAGTCGTTACTTAGCAGTGGCTGTTATATATGTGCTTTTTTTTGCGGTCGTTTTCTAGAAACGGGTGTACATGCCACAATAATAGTCCTTCTCCAATATAAAGATAACAGCTTTTAATATTCTCCGTGGAAGGTCATTAGCCATTACGAACATAATTTTAAATAAGTGTAAAATCGAATTACACGAACACGGGTTGTGTTAAGGATTGTTAAGTTACGGGTTATATTTGAACGTACCACTTTAAGCCTAACATATTTAGTCATATGTACATGTTTATTACGAATGGGGAGGGGTGAGAAGAGGAATGCATATAGGATATTGGTGGGAAAGCCAGAAGGAAAGAAACCACTGGGAAGACCAAGACGTAGGTGGGTGGACAAAATTAGAATGGATCTCAGAGAGTTAGGATAGGATGGTATCAATTTGATTTATTTGGCTCAGGATAGGGACCAGTGGAGGGCTCTTGTGAACACGGTAATGAACCTTCGGGTTCCATAAAATGCTTGGAAGTTCTTGAGTAGCTGCAGAACTGGCGGCTCCTCAAGAAGGGCTCAGCTCCATAATTAAATAAGTACATGTTTATTAAATGTAATGTGCACCGAAGTATTAGAGTGCCTTTTGAACGTACGAATCTAAAGTCATAGGTGTACATATTAAACACGCTAAACACTGAACTATTACGTTTATTTTCTCAACGTGTCATTTCAGACAGAAGATGAACCCGCCCGTGTGTTTGTATGTGTGTCTGAAATATTCTGAACAGTGAACTGTGATATTCTTGTCTGATAATAGAGCTCTGAACTGAATGAACGTGTGTGAATATGAAACACATTAGGGATGATCTGTTCAATTGAAGCATCATTCTAAAATAAGCAAAATAGGCATGCTTTATATGCAACACACTAAACGTTGAGTTGTATATGTTTCCTCTTAACACACGTTCACTTGTATGACAGACAGTACTCGCTGACATGTAATATGTTCTTTCTAAAGCGATCATTTTCTCCTGTAGACACGATTATAAGCCATTCTAGACACGGTTATTTCTTATCTCACGCTTGTAACATATACTTGTTTCATTAAAATCCAGTAGGTCGCAGTACTGCAGCGGGACGGTTGAGGCGTACCAGGCGTACCAGTTGCACGTGTGGACTTGCTGGACTGTTGGTGAACTGCGGCAGACTCTTGAGTTTAATGGGGACTTAAATTGTGATGGGACATGTGTCTATGTGTTAAGTGTAATACAGATACTGTTGTTCTGTCAAGTGTGTTTGTATACCAACCTGAAGAAATGTGAGCTGGAATTCGTAACTAGCTTCAAAACTCTCCATTACGCTGTTATAAGGTAAGTTTTCATAAGTTTAAATTCACGTATCTTAATGTTTCTAGACCGTAATATAGAGTGACAAAGCCTGAAATATAAAGGTATCCTACACGGCATGTCTTAAATAACCAGTAAGTGAATGTGAGTAGTTGAAATTAAGTAATTATTATCGTCACAGTCACAACAGTTATGTTCATTATTTTTTAACCCATACACGTTTTCGATCGATGTCAATTCCCTTATTTTTATAACAGTCCTGTGTATAACGGTCTTTGTTACCTTGTGAAATTTCGGTAAACAACATGACATTAATTCATTGGGTCTTACGTTTGTTGCATTTGCGATTTGAACCCCCTTGTAAAAATTAATTTCCGCCTAAAATATGCTCATCAGTTTGAAATTATTAAATATAATTTAATATACAGAAAGCGGTGACAAGTTCACTTAAGACGGTATTGTTCTGAAGTACAATGTAGATATCGTTATGTTATATTAGCAGTTTTGTTATGGCTTTAGTTAAGTACAGTTAATTATTAATTCTATTTCGTTACGATCGTGTTTCAGTATGGCATAAAATTATCACCAGTTAATTATTATAGTTGTAGGATTTGAGGTTCTCAAAACCGTGGTTATGAAAAGTTCATTCTTCTGGGATATAACGCCCTGTAGACAGTTGAATGTCCATAGACGTTTCGGAGGAATTTTCCGCCTCCATCTTCAGGGTAGAATAAGCCAAGCAAGGAACCAGTGTGAAGAAGGTAACAAACTCTACGCACTTTTGCTAACTGCTTCTTGTTAGTTTCTTTTTTCTTATCTTTATTCTTAGTCTTCGAGCCTGAGAATGGAGGCTACATGTTCTTCAGAAACGTCGATTTACTTTCAACGTACTATGGACGTTTTATCCCAAAAGATAAAACGATTCAATTATTGTTGTTAATGTATGTATTTTAGAACAAGATGATATTAAATGCACGTATTATCTTATGGGGGCACGCTGTAGCGTAGTTGGTTGAGGCAATATGCTTCAAGTCGGAAGGTCGTGGGTTCAAGTCGCGATGAGGTCATTGGATTTTTTTTTCAATTTACCTAATACTTCCAGCCGCACCATGGTCCTGGGGTTGACTCAGCCTCTAACAGAAATGAGTACCAGGAATACCTGTTCTTGGAATATTCTTGGGAGTAAAGGGTGGCCGGTGCGTAAGTCTGACAACCTTGCCGCCATCTATGATACGATTATCTAGAAAATGTGGAACCCTCAACATCTCGCAACCCTATAGGCCACCACGACATGTTACAGGGATACCTTTACTTATTTACTTTACTTTACATGCTATCTTATTCTGACCGTGCTTAAGAAATATGGTATAGAGATTTTATTTTACACTGCTATTAAAAAAGACAAAGTAGTCCCTGTGCGTAATTAAGCACCACACCATGACGACATATATGGGAGTTAGGGTACAACTTTGCTTATTTTTGATTATAACATTAGATGAATATGAGCTGTCACCTCCACATTATGTCCGCTTTACACCTCGGGATTATGCCTCCTTTGTCCATTGGATAGGAATCTCTGTGGCTTGAACGCTGTGGAGATACTGTGAAGCTCATTCCATCGTCCGCCTTTACTCTCAGGCTCACTCGTAGCCACAAGAATTGACAGAGAAGTTCCACTCACCTCTGATTTAGTTTTAGGTATCGAATGACCAGAAAGTGGTAAAAGACAGCAAAATACAAATGAAAGAAAATACTTCAGCGCTTATCAGCACGCTATACACACTTGAACAGTAAGTGTGAGAATGTCATTACGTGACGTCAGAAGAGACAGAGTTCAAACAAGTAAATATATATGTATTAGTGTCAATATAATAACAATACGAAAAGCACTTAAGACGTGGGAGAACAATTTTTGAGAACAACCAGATTTTTAGTATTCCAGAATAAAAAAATAAACTCCATGGCCTGCGGTCCGCAAGCAAACTATACCGACCGGGCGACCGCCGCTTGTGGGTGAAGTTAATGCCAACTTTTGCGGATAGACGGTGTCACGTGGTCAGCGCAACGGATCCCCACGGCCGTTAATTTCGGTTTTCTAGATTGGAAGTATTCCAGAATAATCATGTTAAATAAATATATTTGTTGAATATTTAAACATTTCTAAAGTTGCCTACTTTATTGAAATTTCGCAAATAATTAGCTCACACATGTCATTTGTCATCAATATATTTTTCCCTGTCACATTCTTTCCTTCTGCGCTACAGCCTCAATTTGGACCTTGGTCAACCTCCATGAAACTCTCCGTTTCATTTCGGTTTACTAGATCTTAGAAATTCGGTAGGACTCCTTGGGCGGGTGATCAGCTCGTCGCGATGTCTCTACCTGTACACAAATACAGATAAACGCACATATAAGCATAAACATTAAACATCCATGCCCAGTGTGTAATTAGAACCCACAGTCCCGGCTTCTGAGCGAGTTAAGACAGTGCATGCCTCAGACATCTCGGCTACCGTGACCGGGAAACCCCGTCTATATTGACCCCTAACTCGTGACAATATGGTAGGTCTTAATCAAATGTGTATTTTTTTTTTATTTTATGTGAGAATTTTGTGACAGCACTGGCAATTCTTGAAGAAGAATTATTATCCACCAAATGTAGGCCTCTTCTAAATGTGGTGTTGGAGAAGGATGGAGAAGATCAGTTGGACCCATTATGTGCGAAATGAAGAAGTGTTATTTAGAGTCACTGAGCAGAGGAATATCCTACACGAAATAAGAAAACGGAAGGCTAATTGGATTGGTCATATCTTACGCGGTAACTGCCTTCTAAAAGAAGTTATTGAAGGAAAGACAGAGGGGCGGATAGAAGTGACCAGAAGACGAGGAAGAAGACGTAAGAAGATGCTGGATGACCTTGGGGACAGAAGAGGATATTTTCATTTGAAGGAGAAAGCTCTAGATCGCATCAAGTGGAGGAACTGTTTTGGAAGAGACTGTGGACCTGTCGTCTTGACAGATTACTGATGAATGAATGAAATGCAGGCCTACCTGTATATTATGCATTATTTTTTGTCTCGGAAGAGTACTGTTCCCTAGGAAGGCGTGATGAGATGTCAAGAAGAAAGGTATAGATGTTTAGAAGGAAGAAGCATTTGCTCTCAAACATGTATACCTTCTACCCGACATCCCAGCAGACAATAGTCTTCATATCCACCGCCGTGAGAACAACGTGTCTCAGTCGCGTACAGACGCATGCGCAAGTATGTGTGCACAATTCCAGTCTGAAAGCCCGTAGAATATATTCAGAGAAGGGAGATGAATGTGATGCGACCCATTAATTAATGTGCTATCTCTGTCAGTTTCTTGAATTTTTCTGAAATAAATTACTGGAACAAAATGCGTGAAACTTTATTATCACTGAAGAGAGAATAAGTCTTACAGTTGCAGTTCGCGTCACAGAAATAAGCTGCCATTTTGAATGACTAATCAGTGTGAATGAAGGAATGACAAGAGGTGGGTTTCACAAGTTAAAGGCTTCATTTTATCTTCACGAAGGACTGGGTCTTTTGTTTAAAAGCGATGTCATTTAAATGAAGACAATCTATTACAATAATGACATATAGCAGTGTAGAGGAAAAAATACGTCTCTGTTGACAATCTTTCCATATGCTATCATAACATAACTTACTTACTCATGGAGCTGAGCCCTTCTGGAGGAGCCGCCAATTCTGCAGCTGCTAAAGAATTTCTCAGCATTTTATGGAACCCGAAGGTTCATTACCGTGTTCACAAGAGCCCTCCACTTGTCCCTATTCTGAGCCAGACCAATCTAATCCATACCATCCCATCCTATCTCTCTAAGATCCATTTTAATATGGCCCACCCACCTACGCCTTGGTCTTCCCAGTAGTCTCTTTCCTTCTGGCTTTCCCACTAATATCCTGTACGCATTTCTCGTCTCCCCCACTCGTGCTACATGCCCTGTCCACCCCATCTTCCTTGATTTGATCATTCTAATTATACTTGGAGAAGAGTACAAGTTATGAAGCTCCTCATTATGCAATTTTCTCCAACCTCCTGTCACTTCATCTCTCTTTGGTCCAAATATTCTCCTCATCACCCTGTTCTCAAACACCCTCAGTCTATGTTCCTCCCTTAATGTCAGAGACCAAGTTTCACACCCATACAGAACCACAGGCAAAATTATAGTTTTGTATATTCTAATTTCATAATATAACATTTAACCAAATATTATTAGAATGCTCAAATGAAAGAGGTTTAAGTGGGTAATGTATGGAACAGATATAAAGAGAAAGCATACACAAGTTTAGATGGAAAAGCTGAAAGGGAAGATACTGCTTCAGTAAGCTTGACGGAGATGAGCAACTCTTACAGAAACAAGACTTGAGTGTGTGGACTGGATTTATCTGGATCAGAATAGAGTCCAGCGGCGGTCTCTTGTGAACTTTATGATTTTTTAAGTGATGGGATATTTTTTCGATTAACTGATTTATTATTAGCATCTCAAGAAGGATTCTAGTCTATGGAATTAGATATTTCTATAGAGAATAATTTTGTCAAATTTATTACAATCTGAGTGAATTCTCCTTCTGAATATTCGACCCGCATTGCATGCGCACTATTCAACTGTGTGCTTCACGATCTAATCGGTTTTCTCCAAGGAGGAGCCCTTCGGTTCCCGTTACGTAACTGAATGCGTGTGACCCAGATTCGGTCACTGTACGTTGGGGAATACAAAATCACTCTTTCTAAAATGAAAGTTAAATTCCCTTCTCTTTTTTGTAAGCTAGTAACTATTCTTCGGAAAAACATTCGTTACTGCTTAGGTTAAAATAAATTACGGCTTTATTCCGGACTCTGGTACATGATATGAACATAAATGTGAATATTTTTACGAGTATTATTGTGGCATCTTGTAATTTGTTATTATTTACTTAAATATAATTTGTTATTTACGACCGAGGAGGCATACTGGAACGTCGTGATGTTAAGATAGAGAA